TGTTCCCAGCTCCCTGATGAACCACGACAGTTCTTGCATATTCCTGATGCAACCTCCCTTTTGTTACAGTGTTCAGTGCCTTGTGGAGTGGGGCAGAGGACCCGAGATGTGAAATGTGTCAGCAACCTTGGAGATGTTGTTGATGATGAGGAATGTAACATGAAGCTGCGGCCAAATGATATTGAGAACTGTGACATGGGTCCCTGTGCTAAGAGCTGGTTTCTTACGGAGTGGAGTGACAGGGTAAGGCTTCTCATTGTCTTTGTGCTGCCCAATCTTCTAAAGCAACTTAGGTGCATCAGAATTGAAAGAATACACATCTGCACAGCCATAAAAGGAATGATCTTATTTTCCATGTTTATCCTTGATCAGTTAAGCAGGCAAGAGCAAACAAAAAAATAACGATCCCAAGGGCATCTTGAGTTTGCATTATTAGATACAAGAATGCACAGAAGAAAGGGCAAGTGTGCGGGTACATGGCCAAACATCTGGATTTAGAATTGGCTCTGTGTCTGAAATTCCCAAAATATTGAGTGTGTTGAGATTTATTATTCTGCCTTGCTTAGCCCTGAGTCTCAAGATTCAGACTCTAAAAATTTCCCTACTGTTTTTTTAAGGGATGAAGGCTTGAGGCTGATGTCTGAGTTTAAGTTCAAGCCATTAAACAATTATCCTATAGCTGTGAGAAGAGGGGAACAACTTCATAGACTCAGGCAAGGTTGATTCAGGCTTTTGTACTTTGTGAACATGGTTGTATTTTTTTTTATTCCAATGAGTCAGATTCTCTGCATGAAAGCAACAAACCCAGCAGTGATTCACCTTTTTTCATGATTGGGCTCAGAGTTGTTCAGTAGTGGTATTTATATGCTCTCATTAAAAGGCTTACAAATGGGCTAAGAAAAGCCTGGTATTGTGGTCATTCTTGTGGAAGCTTGCATATCCATTTCATCTGTAGACAAGTTGAGCCTTCATTTTGTAAAATCCTGATTGCATCTCCATCTTTTTTGACTGGTTGTTTTGGCAGGCAAATAATACAGTTTATCATTGATGCTGTAAGATTACTGTTATAACTTCATGGTTTCATTATTTAGATCATTTTGTGTTAGCATCTCTGAAAGCTAGGAATGTCAGGCTTATAGGTTGTGCTTTAGTTTGGACACTCAGATTTTTCCACATGTTTTAGATGCAGAGAAGGAGGAGGAACTTCATAGTTAGGACAGGTACCTTGTACATCACATGATTTTAAAAAGGCTGATCAGGCTCTTGCTACAATTAAAGGCCTGCAAAATTTTCAGCCTCCAGATATCTTGAATAGATTTTGTAAAGAAAAAATAAATACACTAATAAATCTTTGTTGTTGCCATTTGAATTTATTTTTCCACTTGTTATTCATTCAGTGTATGCTCTTGCATAGCACAGACACAAAGTTATCAGGTGAAGTATAGGTATTAGTGCAATTGGCAAAGATTTTGCTGTAGGAGAAATGCCAGTGCTTTTTATTTAATTTTATTTGATTTTGGTTTATTTTAGTTTATTTTATTTGAGCTTGTTGAGCAGTGCTTTGTGCAGTGCTAATTTGCAAGTAAGAGAGAAAAATGCATTCTACCTTCAAAGACATCTTTCTTGAAAAAGCTGGCCCAGCTACCATCAGCTAATGAAGTTCCACCACACAAAGCGCATACATTCCAGTGCAGACTCTAGCATCAATGTTTTCATTATTCTACATTGGGATTTTGTCCTCTGCAAAATTAAAACTAATTTTTGTAGCTGAAGGTTATGACTATAGAATGTTATTATGCTTATTTGTATGTATTAAATGAGATGTAGACGTTCAGAGGAAAATGTTGGGGTTTTCTCTTACCACAAACCTTTTAGGGTCAGAGAGTAAAGAATGGATTTTGTTACCTTCTCAGCTTATGTAAGTGTACAAATTAATTTCTTCCAAATGCTTGCTACTGTAGTTGGCATTATTCACTATCACTTCTGCCAGCACCGGGTTTCAAGTTTGATTCACAAATAGAATGGAAGGAACAGCTTTTTTCATGAAAAAAAAGTAGATTTGGGCTAGAATGTGCAGGATCTTCTAAGATTCACACATACCTTGTAACTCAGATGTTCAGAGACGTCTAATGGCAGTGCTTCTAGTGGAAGTCGGTGGAATATAGGAGTAATCAATAGCTTTGCGAAGTTGGGCCTTTGGCCATTATCTTTCTTATTGTGCTGATATTTTTTTAGGATCAGAAGTCTCTCTTTGTAGAGGAATGTGTATCTGTTGAAAGACAAGAGAATTCTGACATGGAATGGAAGTGGGCATTCCCTGGTGTGTGAACTCTGAATGTGTGATTTCCCCAAACAATTCTCTAAAAAGTACTTTAAGCCAAGCCACACTCCAGCAGTAAGCGTAGATCAGCGATGGGCAGCCACAAATGGTTCAGATACGCAGCCAAAAGTTCAGATGCTCAAAGAAAGCTTGTTCAAACCTCTTGAGTCCACAAAACTGTGGTGGAAATCTCACAAGAACAGACTTTCTTTGTGAGATTTATTACATGCCTACTTCAAGTCCCAGCTGGAAATACCACAGAACAGTCTTTCCCATTGTATTTTGACATTTCAGCTGTGGCTAGAAATAAGAGGTAAAAGAACTTAGCATAACTTTTGAGGATGTTGGAACTTTGAAATGGTTGAGTTCAAACTTGGTTACAGCCATAAGAGAAGGCCTGGCCTGTACTTTTCTAAACACATTTTGCAAACACTTAATGTGTACTGTTGCACATGCTGCAAGTAGAGATTTCCAGAGGCCTGTCAGAAATCGGTCAGGCACATACTTTCTCTTTCAGCAAGGGATATATCAAACTTCCATGTCCGGATTTATGTGATGCATGGGGCATTACAATATAGCCTTGGTTAATTAGCAAAACATCAAGAGAAAGCACAGTACTATAAAAATTATACTTGTCTTTGCTGCCAACAGATGTTAAATTTCAGGATTTCATAACTGTGATATATATTTATGCCGAATTTGACAAGGGTATTTTTTAACACAGAGAGAGAAAGAGATGAAAAGTCACATCTGAGTTTTAAGAAAAGGACAGGATCTAATTTAGGATTTGTGAGAAGATTTTTGGTTTGCTTATTTTACTGAACCTTTGCAAAGTTTTATTTGATGCAAAATCATGCTAGTTGCCTTCATTTTCATCAATTTCATTAATAGTTCTGTGGTTCTCTAATTGGAAGATTGAATCAATGAATTTCCTAACTCTAACTTCTGCGATTCAACATACTTGCACTTAAAAAACAGAGTACACACAAAGTTGTGTGTCTGCTTCCCAGGGTGAGCTGTGTGCAGCTACACTCCATAAATAACACTTGGCTGCCTTCTCACCATGTTCTCCTGTCTTGTTTTCCCACAACATATATGTATGTATTTTATAGCCCACCTGTTTCCTTCCCATGGCATCGACATTCTTGGTTTCAAGACTGGCACAGACTGATTCTTTATACATATAATTAAGCCTAAGTAATTAAAAATACCTCCATGTTCCTTAAGGCAATACAGTTCTTGAGTCATTTTGATAAACAGGTATCACAGTCCATTGTGTGTATGTTATATGCAAACTTTTACCTGCAAAGCTTACGAGTTGTATGGCTTCCATGTGCACACTGGTGGAACATGTGAGGGAAGGGATGAAAGCAATTAATCTTTAAGAAACAAGCGCTTATTTTCTGAAAAGTATAAACTCTGAGGTATATCTAAACACCATACTGGGATATCCCCCAGTCTCAATCTTGGGAGAAACTGAAGTTTTTACTTATTTCAGTGGGATAGATTACAAGTTAAAAGTCTCCAGCAGTAAAGTGAGACTCATCTTACTTTGTATGTGCTTGTCTTTACATTTATTGCTCTGTCTTGAGTATAAATAACAGAATTAACTTAAGTTTCATGGGTTTGAGTTCTACATGATCTTTAACCCCTGTTGCCTGTAGAGAGTCTGGACAAACTTTGTGATGTTTTTACGTGTGTTTGTAGAAAGGTGGCTTCCTGTCTCATAATTCTCCTAAGATGTCAGACTGCGTTAAAACGGCCCAGTTCCACCACACTGCAGTCATTAATCAGTAGAGTGGAGCTGGTGAACCTTACTGAACTTAGCGACAAAATTGGATTGATGGGAGCAGATGAGATTGTTGCAAACATTTCACATGACTGATTCCTTGACAGCTCTAATTGCTGGAAAGTTTACTTCTCTTGTGGGTCAGAAGCGGGAAACTGTGTTCTCCTGATTTACAGCGTGGGAGACTCGCCAGTGTTGCCTTGCATCTAGCTGGAGGATTCCCCTCTTGCATTTTTGTTTATTTCTCATTGCCATCAATGTTCATTTGTTTCTCATTTTATGTTTAGAGCATACTTAGAAAAGAAGCCAAAATACAAACAATTCTTAGATGTTAATGAGATTCTGAGGCCAAAATAAAATCTTGGGAAGAAAGAAAAAGTGCTGCGCATTAGGGAACAAAATCAAACCAGATCAAACACATGCTCTGAATTTCACTCTTTGTTAGAAAGAGTAACAGGAAAGATTCTGTAGTATCTTCCATTAGAGAACTACAGTATGCTTCCTAAAAATCAATGCTTTATTCCTCGCAATCCTAAATCATTACCTAACAGGTACAAGTGGATTTGACCAGTCAAATGTGGAACCACCAATGAGTTTGTAGCTTACACTCTTCTTTCACTGATTTTTATTTAAATCTGGAGAGCTTTCGTAAACTCTCTTGGATCCTGGGGGAAAAAACAAAGACACCCCCCCTCCCAAAAAAAAACCCACAACAAAACCCCATAATATCCTGGGTGTGGATCAGATGGCCTGGCACATCAGTTCCACAGAAGTATAAGGCTCTAGTAGATACCAGTGCACAGTGTAGCCTGATGCCATCAAGGTATCAAGGGGTGGAACCCATTTGTATTTCTGGAGTGACAGGAGGATCCCAGTAATTGACTGCACTGGAGGCTGAAATCAGCCTGACTG